CTCTCATTGTATCTGATGGTTAAGCTATGAAACCAAATGTCTGCTAAGGTTATTGCTTGGATCAAGAAACCAGAGGTAGCAGAAGCAAAGCCAAAAGCAGAGGCAAAGCAACATACTTTTTAAAAGATTTATTTATGCATACAAGAGCTGGGGTGTAGGCCAGATGTTGGGAGCAGCGGAGGGAGTGAGAGTATTCACCAGAGACAGAGTGGGGAGCAGAACAGAGAGATTGAAAGAAGTACACTGCTGAGGGGTGCAGAGGGTGAGACAGCAGAGGTCTGCTGCACCATGTGGGTCAGCTCCCTGGCCAGGGGATAGAAATAGTGCTTCAGTGGCTGTGGCTTCACAGTGCTGAGATTTAACCCCCTGTACCACTAGGGAAGGCCCAAAGCAATATTTTAAAGAGAGGAAGGAACTTGGGCCTCCCCGGTGGCACAGCAGGTCGAGCACAGTGCTGTGAAGCTGTCCGCAGCCTCTGCAGTGCGTATTCAATTCCCGGCCTGCCAGGGAGATACCCACATGGCGCGGCAGACCTCTCCTGTCTCACCCGCAGCTCCCCTTAGTAATGTCTTTCGGTCTGTCTGCCTGTTCTGCTCCCCGCTCTGTCTCTGGTGAAGCCTTTCACCCTCCCACGCCTCTGACCTATACCCCAGTTCTTGTATAAAAATACATAAATCTTTAAAAAAAGAAATGAGAGGAAGGAACTTATCTTCAAATAAGATTCTAAACCCATATGTAAGCATGTGTGAACTTCAGTATACTAAAGAAAATTTGCAAATCCTTCCACAGAGAATACTACAGCTTTTAAGAGATAGAAGTACTATAATTTTAATATTTTCAAGTGAGCATGTGACTTTATAATCACGATGGACAATTTAGATTTTAACTCAAGCTAAAGTGGGTAAGAAGCAAAACTAAACAAGAAACCCTTATGTCCAAGTGCTCTACATCCTGAAAAATACATTCCTTGCTGTCTTTTTCCAGGTTATTATTCCAATGATAATTTGCTTTTTTAATAGACGGGTGAGAGAAGTATTTGTCCCATAACATTTCTCCAAGTTTTTCCTCTTGCAGTTGCCAAACACTGAGAAATCATCCATAGACTCAATTCAATGGGAAGAGATATCATGCTGATATCTAAATAGCATTACAGATGTCAGCAATATCCTGAACCATAAAAAAGAGAAGTAAAAATTGATTTTCAAAAGGCATTTTCTGATTAATTGCCCAACTGAATCAGAAATCACTGTTTCTTATTGTTTTTATGACAACCCAGCATTTCATTAAATCACATAAGGCATATCACAGCAATAGTTTACTTGGTGGGCATAATCATCACAATGTCCACCTGTGCCACATAATACAATCCCGAAACAAAACAATAGTACTAATTTGGTGGTAGGTGTGGTGTGATAATATATATCTGAAAAGGTGTGAACCTGTACCTGTGAATCATCTATAGTGTTGTAAACCAACATTATCTCAATAAAAAATAATACAATAAAAAACAATAGTGCTAACTCCCATTCCTCCCCAAAATACAAAAACCACATACTGTTTCTATTACTAAAACTTACCTTAATTATTTCTCAAGGTTTAATGCTTATTTCAAGATAATTTAAACTAACCCACAGCTTTCACTATAAATATATTTAAACAGAGCAGGTAATTAAAGCACATTGAAAGTGTCACTCCTACCCCTCTCATCCCACTATCTGTTCATCTTCCTCATTTAGTTTTGACATAAAACCTAGAATAGTTTAAAAAAATCTAGAAAGCTAAAGAAACTGGGGCTTTAAGAATTTTTCGTAAACCCAATTATTTCCCAAAGAAACTTTATTTTGAAAAGAATATCATAACCATCACATAAATTTAAATATGACAAATCTGGCTGTATCAGGGAGTCAAATTATCTACAAGTGAAGTCACTAAACTAAATGGCAGATAACTAAAAAAAAAAACCAAAAACAACTAGTTATCTTTTCATTTCACACTTGCATCTAAATACTTAGATGGGAACTGACACAGATTCATACGAGATAAAGAATTATCCTGCCTGAGTAATCAAAATTCTTTTTATTGTTCTTGCTCTACATAGGTAATATCACTAATGTCTATACAAAGCAGCAGCACCCATATGACAAGCTACTTTCTTCTCCCAATTAATACAGTGGAGAGCTTTCAGTACTGTGGCTTCTAACTTCTTCTGGGTGAGGAAAGCCGTAGTGACAACTAAAAGTTTTCTAGATATGGCTGATTTCATTTATACATATTGTTCCCAAGAACCTTATCATTTAGTGAGGAAAATATCAATATATAATCAGTGAAAGCAATTATAAGGTAAATGGAGGGTATCAGTTTTTTCTGCCCTCCTGATATTAGCATCAATGATCAACACCTGTGGTCTTACACGCAGGCCTGATGTGAGTCACCTAGACCGTGGTGTGAGCGTGCATGAGTGGGCGCACCTGAGCCTAGAGGCTGAGCATATAAGGACGGTGTCACAGAGATGCAGGAGCAGAGGACGTGGCAGCAGAGGAGGTGGTGGCAGAGAGCAGCAGAGACCAGAGGAGATCAGGAGAGAACGCCAGAAAGCCCAGTAAGAGTAAAAATTCGCTGGGGGCTAGGAGGCCTGTCAGCCTCCTGGCGCCCTGTGTTCCCCTGTCTCCCCTGCACCTGGTTGCCTCACTATAAATGGTGTAGCAAAATCATTAAAAGCCTGAAAAAGCCATAGAGGGCACCAGGACTCCTCTACCCATCTGCCCGGGTCCATAGAGAACCTGCTGTGTGCCTTTCTGGCACTACAGTACTCTATATATGATATAATAATTGTTCCTTATTCTTTTTTTTAAGATTTATTTATTTATGCATACCAGAGCTGGGGTGTAGGCCAGAGGGGCAGAGGGTGAGAGGATTTACCAGAGACAGAGTGGGGAACAGAACAGGCAGATTGACTGAAGTACACTGCTGAGGGGAGCAGTGGGCGAGTCAGGAGAGGTCTGCTGCGTCATGTGGGTCACCTCCCTGGCCAGGATGGAACTCTGTGGATTACTTTATAGTGCTGACACTTAGCCCCTTGTACCACCAGGGAGGCCCCTGTTCATAATTCTTTTAAAAAATAAAAATTTAGAGGTATATAAGAACCTGGATACAGACCTTGAACTTCTCACTGCACAGGGTCTTGGAGACAATTCAGTGCTTTACCCCCAGATGATTCAATGAAACCACAAACATTTTCAGTTCACAGGGAGAATTCTAAAGCACTGGAAAATAGCCAGTAAACCATCTTCAAAAGATGAGGACTCAAAGACAAAAAATAGAGCTGACTGCTAAAAGTAAATTGAAGAGAAAATTAGACTCAACAAATTTAAAGAAAATTTTCACCTATTCAATAGTAGAGGGCAGTAAAAAGATACTGAACTAGCAGACTGAAATTTGTTTGTACAGTTAGCTTTTGACTTTGGACACAACAACTATAAAATAAGTGCATTAAGATCCGTTTGCTTTTTTTATAGGCTTCAGAGCTATGATATTTAAAGACAATGATGCACTTCATATCACTATGTAAACTATGAAGTTTACTATTCTTAGTAAATGGAGATTTTAAAAGCATTAAGGAAAAAGGCCAACTTAAGGTAAAATTATAAACCATCAATCTTTTGACCCAGAATATTTCTCTATTCAATAGTAGCTGCTATGAGTTGGCTCAATTTTCCACGAGGCAAAAATGGGAAAATTTGAGTTGACTTAATTTCTCTTATGATACAACATGATTTTAGTATAGTTTTAGTTTTAGTTAGTCTAGTTTTAGAGTTTATTCATTAAGAACTGAGAAGGGTAATTTGCTAGTATTAAAATGTAAACATTGACTGCAACTCTCTACCTCTAATACAATATTTTGACATATTTCATTATGAAGAAACAAACACAGAAGTAATTCTATTTATGATAGATTGTTAGTCAATAGGAACAGAATATTATGTAACATAGTTCTAGGCAAAATGCATGTTTCAACATATACACTTTTATTTATAAGTTATTACCTTTATTACTCACTTCAGCATGGCAGTCTCCTCAGTAAAGCAGTAAATGTTAACAAGTAGATCCCAACAACCATTTTCCTCTTTTCCTTAAGCAAAACTCAAAGGCAGTTACAGATTCATTGGTTCATTGCAGAGGCATCCCCTGCTTTTGAAAACTTTGTGCTAGGCCATTCCACTTTTACAAAAGACCGACGTTTAGTGCCTATTTTCAATAATTAAAAGAAATCCAAAGATGATTTTTGCTTTAATGACAAAAATGAAAACAGCATACACATTTGTTTTTCAGTAGCCATTCCAGAGAACACACACCCCGAGCTGGAGTGGATGGAGCTGCCAAGCTCCTTCCCAGGAACTGCTTTAGACAGGCTGTGTATTTGCCATGTCATTCCTACTTTTACTATATGTTCGTATTATTTTAGTTTTATGTGGTACTTGGTATGATTTGGTGGATTGTTCTGGTCTAGGAACACTATGAGTTTTTTCCATATACAATAATGGTAATTGTTTCTTCTCTTGATGCCATTTTGGCTTATGGAATGTTTCATTGTAACACTCTACTTTTGGATAGCAGGGGAAATCTGTAACAGGAAAACAGTAAGCTTTGGGCTATTGCAAAAGATTTTTCAAATATTAATATCTAACTTGGAGAAGACAGGGAAGCAGTAACAAGGGAGACCAATTTTGTGCTATAGTCTGGCCTTATGTTGTGGCATGTTCTCAGCTGTAATATTTTTTTATTCTTTTTATGAAGATTTATTTTTATGCATACAAGAACTGGATGTAGGCCAGAGGTGTGGGGTGGGGTGGGGTGAGAGGAGTAACCAGAGACAGAGTAGGGAGCAGAACAGGTGGATCAACTGAAATACACTGGTAAGAGGAGCAGAGGGTGAGACAGAAGAAGTCTGCTGCACCATGTGGGTCAACTCCCTGGCAGGGGATGTAACTAATGCCAGCTGTAATATTTTTAAGTTACAAGTAAGCAAGTAATACAAACTTTCATATATAAAAAGAGAAAATGGTCCAGAAGTCTTCTATTCAAAGACAAATTGTTTTCTTCCCAATAACTTATCAGAAAGAAATGGGTACTTAGAAAACCTATGGAATTCTTCAAATAATATTCAGGAAAAAAATACAAAAATAAAAATAAATCAAGACCATAATTACAAAGTAAGACTTTCTTGTAAGATGACTGTCCCCTCTTTATGGATAGATACTATATAAAAGGGGCAGACAGAGCTCTATAATTCATCATGTTTATATGTAAACTCTCTAGCAGATATAAATCCATCTTTGTCTTCATCTTCTTTATCAAAAATATCCTCCACCAAAACATCATGATGACTTTCATTCACCACCGCACCATGTTTTTCAAATTCCTTCTTTAAGTACACTTTAACCTACAAAATAATAATTCTAATTAGTTAAGAGATCCACATTAAGCCAAACAATATCATAGGTTTGACTGGTCATTATTAAACTCTTTATAGTGATGACTAAATAACCATTTTATGATAGACTTGTAATGATAGTGAAAGAATTATAGGGCATGTCTTCCCTTAAACACCGTTGCTACAGTGCTACAGTAGATAGCATATTGCTCAGAGACAGAAATAAGGCTTATCTCATCTGAAAACATTTGTTCTTAATCTGAGTTGTAATAATACCAAGTTTTTGAAAATCTGCTGTCCTTTCATCTACTGAATTACCCAGATCATGTTTTCTAACAAGGATCACAACTCCAGACATTTCACTTAAATGACTTTTTTTTTTATAGAAGTGTCTGGGCATAGTACATGCTGTGGACCTCACTATGACTATACCACACAACCTTTTAATTTCAAAAAGTAAAGCAAAGTCCAGTCCGATGAGTGTTTAATCTAAATCTTTCCATTATCCTTCAGATGTTTAAAAATATAAACAAAATACTGCTTCCATTTAACCAATAGATTCACCATTATGGAATTCAACTTATATTTTCATTTTTAATCATATCTCTAGCACTCCTTTTATATCAGCAATTTCATATCTTCTTTCCTCTCTCTATTGCCAATATGCATACACCTGGAGCATATTTATTTGTAAGATTAAAATAATTTAATTCTGTTGTAAAAATTAAAAAAGTGTTGTGAAACTCTTCGATTAATGTAGAATATCTGTAGGATATATTGTGTGAATAAACCAAGACACCAAATAGAATGTATAGTGTGCTATCTTTTTAATAACAAAGGGGGAAATAAGAATATGTATTCATATTTGCTTGTACTTACATAAAGAAACTATGGAAGGATATATTAGGAACTAAAATAATACAAGTGGATATGGAAGAAGGAGGCTCACACACCAGAAGACGATGAGGGTAAGAGAATGACTTCTTAATATCTTAAAATTGTTTGATTTTTTTTTTTTGATCAAGTGAATGTGTTGTGTGTTCAAGAATATTTTTAATGAAAGGGAGTTAAGATTTATCTTGGATAGAAAAAAGTCATGGAGCTAGCAAACACCGAAAGGGTTCATAAATTTAGTGCCTCTGGATTATAAGGCCATGATGCACTACAACTTTGCTTACTCAAGGCAGTCTTTTTTTTTTTTAAGATTTATTTATGCATTACAAGAACTGGGGTACAAGCCAGAGGTGTGGGGGTGAGAGGATTCACCAGAGACAGAGTGGGGAACAGAACAGGCAGACTGACAGAAATACACTGCTGAGGGGAGCAGCGGGCAAGGCAGGAGAGGTCTGCCTCTCCTGTTTGGGTAAGCTCCCTGGCCAGGGATCGAACTCACACTGCAGTGGCTGTGGACAGCTTCCTAGGTTGTGTCTTAACCACTTGTGCCACCAGGCAGGCCCTCAAGGCAGTCATTTCTTGACCACCAGAGTGAAAATGATCAAAACATAAGAAGGAACTTAATTTCTGATGTGTCAAGCCAGAATGGAGAGCATAGGGATTAATTTTGACTTTCACTCTATCCACATATCAGCCCGACTAAGACAGGCGAGTACAGCAATGCCTGTGAAAGCCCAAGTTATAGGGAGAAGACTTCCTCCTTTCTCCTCACCCAAAAACTGGGGCTTTGGGGTGGGGAGGGGCCTGGGAAAGGCTTCCTGCTGTGGAAAAGTTCAATCTGCAGTCCCCCTTCTCCAGGTGCTGAGCAAAACTGAACATGTGAGTTTCTTGCTATTAATTGCTTGGAAATAACTCTCTGCTAGGAAATAAATCTGTGTGTGTGTGTGTTCAAAAATGGGATTTGTCCAGGCAAAACAAATCTTTCGAAAACTGGGGGCAAGAGAAAGCTATATAGTGAACACTAAACATTGGGGAGGAAAAAAAACAAAAGAATGAATGATTATTTTTTTAAGTGTCAATATATTGAATGAATGAAACAATGAATCTATGAAAAGCCGTGGTATTTTAAGAAAAATAATATATAGCATTTTACCCCAACATTATTTTCTTTAAAAATATATTTCTAAAAAAGTCAGCACCCCCCAAAAAAAAATAAAAAAGAGGAATAAGAGAAAGAAAAAGTCACCTCATCTTTAGAGAGTTTCCAGTCATCATTAAGATCCATTTCTTGGAATGATTCATGGGATCTTGGTCCATTTCGAATCTCCAGGAGATCAATGTTGAATATTAATGTACTCTCAGGTGGAATTTTACCTGCCATGGGGAGAGAGGGGTTTAATTTTTATTAAAAAGCTTGGCCTTCTTGGTGGTGTGGGGTTAAGTCTCGGTGCTATGCTGCTGTCACTGCTGAGGCCTGAGTTTGATTCCCGGCCAGGCAGCTAACCCACGTATGGCACAGCAGACCTCTCCTGTCTTGTTCACTGCTCCCCTTAGCAATATATTTCGGTATATCTCCCTGTTCTGTTCCCCACTCTGTCTCTGGTGAATCCTCTCACCCCTCCTCCCACTGCCACACCTCTGACCTGCACCCCAGTTCTTGTATACATAAAAAACTAAAAGTAAATCTTTTTTTAAAAATAGTTCCCAAACTTTTGGTGAATGAAAGTTTATGTAATAAACATATATTTCTTTTAATTGAATTAAATGAAGAATCTTTCTAAGACAATCACATATGATGGAAATTCTAATAATTACATTTTATCCAAACAAATAGAATAAAGGAATAATCTAAACTCATAGACTAAAAGCAATGTTTTCAGCTTTGAAATTAAAAAAAAATTGTTTTATACACAAACATATGTCTAGTGTCCCAGGTATTAATTTTAAAATATAATTAAGATGTTACATATCAAGAATGACTTAAAGGGCCTTAGATAATTTGAAGTTAATTATATTACATGCAACTTACTAACAACCAGGTTAAGAAAGTCCAGTAGCACTGCCATTTTCTGCCACTGGGAGGCAGTATGTAACTAAGTGAGCTATGGCATCATACTGTCATCAGTTCAGAAAGTGGGACTGAAGTTACTTGGCCTGTCTTAAACCTTAGTTTCCTCTTTGATAAAATGCAGATGACAAATATTGCCACTTCAAGAGCTTGTTGGGAAGATGAAGGGAAATAATCCATGCAAAATACCTAAATATGGATTATGTCTCTTCTTCCTGAATAGCAAACTTAATACGTTACCAAGATTAAACTCAGATAGACTTATGACACTCCAGCAATTTTAGAAATTTAGGAAATACCTCTTCTAATATAGAACATTATACCTATGTTTAAGAATTGTCACGGGGGCCTCCCTGGTGGCGCAAGGGGTTAAGTCGCAGCACTATGAAGCTATCTGCAGCCACTACAGCACAGCACAGCACAGCGTTAGATCTCCTATCCCCAGAGGGCCAAGGAGTTACCCACATAGCACAGCAGACCTCTTCTGTCTCGCCCACTGCTCCCCTCAGCAGTGTATTTTGGTCAATCCACCTGTTCTGCTCCCCACTCTGTCTCTGGTGAATCCTCACCCCCATACTTCTGGCCTGTACCCCAGTTCTTGTATGCATAAGTAGATAAATCTTTTTTTTTTAAAAAAAGAAAGAAATGTCATAGGCGGGGAAAACATTAAAGCAAATTCCTAGGAAATGAGATAAAAATCTTTAAACATGAACAGCTTTGTTAACATCCCCAAGGAATCAAAAAACAAAAAACTTTCTCAGATGTATGGATACTTTTTATCAAGTTGTTTAGTTATAACTATATTTAATACCCAGGTCTGAGTATGTGAAATAAATATATATGAATATTTCAAATATTTCTTAGTTCCTCCCAGCCCACATATTTTCATGAAAGAGCATTTGTAAGTGCAATGAAAACAAAACTTACACTGTATGCCGAAGTTTACCAATCCAGATCTAGACAAAGAAGGTACATGCACTAGAGGTCATCAACAAAACTGGTATTTTCCAAAGAAGGCATGCAAACATGGTACTAAAAGACTACAAAATTAGTGTTAAATACATATTAGCAGAATTAGTTTCATGTAACTTAGAAGGAAATGACTCACATTTAGATCTCTACTTGCTATCAAGTAAAACTGAGTTAAATACTACAGTTTGGAGAAAGAATAAAGGATTAATTATCTATAAAGTTTAAAGATGAAACAATAAAATACAGGAAAGTGATAGAATATATTGAAACATCAGAGAAACATTTTCTAGATACTTGATTTTCTTCTCTAACAAGAATTGTCATTAAACAAAGAACTGAATTTGGTTAGTAAATCCTGGTTTCTGCAAAAGATTCATATAGCAAGTTTCCTTTTAGGTCACATAATGCTTCACATGACATCTATTCTTAAGAAACTGGGGCTAGAAATCCCAATTCCCACTGTACAAATGGTTAAATTCAGACCAAAGGATGCTGTGAACTATACATAACTACATCAAAGAGTTTTGATAACACTAAATTTTTTCTCTTCATTATGTGAGATACATGCCAATTGTAGAAAATTTGAAAGAGAACCAGAAGTAAATAGAACTTTCGGCCCCAAAGCCCATTGTTAATATTCCATGTATTTCTGGTGATTCACTTTGCATGTATTTTTTCCCAATACTTACTATTATATACTATAGCTTTATTTTCTACTTTATTTTATGTATAACATATAATACACATTTTGGATATAGTAGTACTAAAAATCTTTGAAGCACTATTTTTACATAACTAAACCATGTCTTCTTCATCTAATCCCTTCCCTTTATAATCTAAGATTGGTTCCAGTTTTTCTGAGATTCTAAACAATATAGTGATAGGTATTCCTGCAGTAAGGAACACAAATCTTTCACTTGATACCTGTATTCCATTAGGTTATATTCCAGTAAAGGAATTGTAACATAGATGCATATAAATATCTCCAGGCCTCTTGTAACTAGCCCTTTGGCAAACTGCAGAGGTTCCTGGTTGAACAGGAGTATGTGCCTGCTAGTGAACAAAGTAGCCCAAAGTTTCCCCAACTCATTTCATGCTACTCCATTATTTTTTAATTAAATTATCAAAAGTATTATAAAATAACTTTAAAAACAAATATGATAGAATCTTCAATAAGGCCTCTGTTGTGGGAGACTTTGATTGTGAGTCACACACAACTCACATCCAAAATTGCCTTTAATACCTTAAAATCTGTATTTCAACTGTTTGACTCAGCAAGACAATTATGTTAAGTAATTTTTCTTTTTGCATTGTTAAGACATATTGTGAGTCTCATTTGGCATGGAGACAAAAGATGTGGAGATGGAAAATGGTGATGCCTTGTCCAATAGTGTGAAATTACTTGATGCCACTCAACTGTATGCTTAAAAATGCTTGAAATGTTAAACATGTGGGGCCTCCCTGGTGGCGCAAGGGGTTAAGCACAGCACTGTGAAGCTATCTGCAGCCTCTACAGCACCAGTTCGATCCCTGGCCAGCCAGGGAGATACCCACATGGCGCAGCAGACCTCTCCTCTCTTGCCTACTGCTCCCCTCAGTAGTGTATTTCATTCTGTCTGCCTGTTCTGTTCCCCATTCTGTCTCTGATGAATCCTCTCACCCCCACACCTCTGGCCTGTACCCCAGTTGTTGTATGCATAAATAAATAAAAATCTTGGGGCCTCCCTGGTGGTGCAGGCAGTTGAGCACCGCACTGTGAAGCTGTCTGCAGCCTCTGCAGCATGGGTTCGATCCCAGCTGGCCAGGGAGATACCCACATGGCGCAGCAGACCTCCCCTGTCTCGCCTGCTGCTCCCCTCAGCAGTGTATTTCATCAGTCTGCCTGTTCTGCTCTCTGCTCTGTCTCTGGTGAATCCTCTCACCCTCCCACGCATCTGGCCTGTACCCTGGTTCTTGTATAAATAAATAAAAATAAATTAAAATCTTTTAAAAAAAGAAATGTTAACATGTTTATATATATATATATATATACACATTACACCAAAATTTAAAATAACCCACTATATTGATGAACAATATTAATAAAGTACAGCTACAGAACCTTTTTCTCATTAACTCGGTTGACCATTTAGACAATATGGCCTTAGCTGGCTACTTTAAATGATAATCAAAACATAATTATATTTCCCAAAGAAATATTAGTTCTTTATTTTCTAGGGGGGAAAAACACAGTAGTTACACTAATTTCTGTCCCTAACCCAGAGAACTTAGTGCTACAGTAAAAATGTACAATGTTATTACCTTTTCCTTCTTTTCCATAGCCTAGGGCAGGAGGAATGATGAGCTTTCTCTTCTCTCCTACACACATTCCCATCAAGCCCTGGTCCCAGCCTTTGAGAGCCTCTAGGATGCCCAGGGTAAACCAAATGGGCTGACCATTGTTATGTTTGTGACTACAATAGAAAAAAAACACATTAGAACTCTTCAGTTACTTTATTTTTTCCTTATTGCTGGTGCTATATTTTTTCCACCCATCCATGGTTAACTTTATTAACGAGAAATTAATGAAAAGTTATTCTTTATACCCAAACATATACCCCCAATTTTTTAGCAACTTATTGGCCATCTTTCTAGATGCAAATTTCACAGTTGACTGAGGTAGAAAAGGGCAGAGGGAAAAATCATAATAACCATTAACAATTGCTGAAGCATTTACTGTGTGAAGGTATTCTTCTAAACACTTTGTCTCTTCTAACTCCAATAATGATCATATAAGTACCATTATTTCCCTTTGTATTCATGAGGGCACTGAGGTTAAGTGTTTGACCTAGCTCCAAAGTTCAAGATCATAACCAACAAATGATGCTGAACCAGGAAGGCTAGTAGAGTGCAGAGAAGTTAGAAAATAATAGACAATGGATGAGTTTGGAAAGATGGCACAGAACACTGGAGAGGCAGGTGCACAGCATCACATGTATTGCCTCCAGTGCAGACTGATGTAGAGTCTGCTGATGACTGATAGGGGAGAAATGCTTCTCCTCAACCCTGAATTCCCACTCAGACACTGGCCAGTTTCCTCTCCCTAAGGGTTTACTGAGAGGCTCTGCAGGGAAGCCTGGAGGAGCAGCCCCTCAGAAGATGGAGGAAGAAGGGATGGGGTAAGGGCCTCTCTGGTGGCGCAGGGGGTTGGGCACCACACTTTGAGGCGGTCCGCAGCCTCTGAGGTACGAGTTCAATCCCCGGCCGGTGAGGGAGTCAGACCTCTCCTGTCTCACCCGCTGCTCCCCTCGGCAGTGTATTTCAGTCGGTCTGCCTGTTCTGTTTCCCACTCTGTCTCTGATGAGTCCCCCTCACATCTCTGGCCTGTGGCCCAGCTCTTGTATGAATAAGTGGATAGATCTTTAAAAAAAAAAAAAAAAGAAAGAAAGAAAGGAATGGGTAAGGTAGTGCATGCATGGTTAAGGTAGTGCTCATGCACTGAAGAGAGGCCACCGGAAGAAAACAACCTATTGAGTTACTGCAGCATCCTCAGTCCTATTGAGGACTGAGCAGCATCTGAGTTCATTAGCTTTCTTTTGTTACAGTAAGTAAAGTGTTTTATTCAAGGACACCTTATAGGTAAGAACTAAAAGTCACTACTGGGCTTTGTGGGTAACCTGATTACTAAATCTAGGTACAGGTCATTACTTCCTCTTTTCCTTAATTTCCACCATGATCAAAGCAATAAAATGGCAACTATAGGAAAATGGGGAAAGCTAGAGAATAAGGAAGAGAGAAACAACGCACCACCCAGCACTGACTACAGTTTTGGCACATGTTTTGTCATATCTAAAGGACTTAAGCTACTTAATACATAGGCTATGTTTCCAGAAATGTGAACTATTTTTAATAAACTGATGATAGTATTCCTTCATAATACTCAGAGTTAGCAGCTCTAACATGATACTAGTCCCCTCATCAGAACTTTATTTACTTATTTTTTTTGTGGGACCCTCGCCAGCAGCCAGAGAACTGAACCGGCGCTGCAGAGTCTGCGGGCAGCCTTGCAGCCCAGTGCTCAACCGCTGCGTCACTTGGGGAGGCCCCTCATCAGAATTTTAGTAGCAAACTGCTAAATAATGTTCCACGGTTGCCACTAAAGTCCCCAGTTCCGAGACTGGAAAGAAATCAGGTTGAGTCTAAAAGAGATCAGACTAAAAATAAGAATGTAGTTGAAACATATAAATGCAAGTCATATTGTTTAACATTCACTGTGTCAATAGCCTTATTGATAAGAGGATAGGACTGTTGAGAGTTCTATAATTCTATCACCATTTTGGAACTTTTTGCTAGGACAAATTGAATTCAGAGAAGAGTCTTTCACTTGAAAAGCTCACAACAGATCAGGTCTGAATGCCATTAATGGCAGTTTATCAGAAAAAGAGGTCTAGGGTGGGCTGTGATTCTTTAGTTCATGCCATCCTCTCTACTTGTCTTTCCTGCCCCTTCTCCACAAGGAAATCTCCATCCCTTGTTCCTCTCAATTATGAACTCTGGGAAGTCTTACTTTTCCTTACTTCTCAGAGCATAATTAATTCCAGATTGCATTATGCTTTGTGAGCACTTTGAACATCCTCTACTCTATATTGTGAGTTATTTACTTGTCTTACTACCTCTGCAGACAGTGCACTGATAGAGAACTAGAACCCATTTTCAGTCATCTTAGCGTCCCCAGGACCTGCCTTGGGGGAGCAAACTCAATCAGGGTTTGATCTGGTGCATTGATGAATCAATGAATGAGAATGGAGAGAAGCCAAACTTTTTGAATATCTCTAGTATCAAGCACATAAAAGAAATACTTAGTAAATACCTTTGGAATGGAGTGAAGAGACTCATGCCTAATTGGAAATCATTACACTCAAAAAATTTTCCATGTTGCAATGTCTTTGTTTACAGAACAGAAATAATGATAATGTAAGCATCTGAAAATGCTGTAGGTATTGGATTAATCTCCAGTAACCACACCGGTTAATAAAGTCTCTGAATTTCTAGAAAGAAACAAATCATGGTCCTGTGCCTAGACCAAAATGTCATCTGTCAGAACAAAAGTTAAATAGGTCAATGGACTAGCATTACCATACCCTTCAACAGATAAGTGCATGTGCTTTCTGCTGTGAAAAGTTTTAAGTTTTCTGCGAAAAGTTTTAAGTAATTTTCACATATACTTAGCTAGAAATGAACTTGAGACGATTCCCCTCAGGAATGGAGCTTGACATATAAGAATTCCTCTAAGCATTTTCTGCTTATTGCCTAACTATACACCTAGTTATTTCTGTAGTATTTCCACGATTCTAGTCCTAATGTTTATAGTGAAAAAATTAAGTGTTTTATGCCAATAAGTTTCAAATATGACTTTCAAGGCCCTCCTATCAGGTTGGATTCAAACGATTTGCTTTTCCGAGGAAAGAAATAAGAAATTTCGGTTTCAAAAAAAGAGAATAAAGTCAAGTACACGCTCCCTTTCCAGCTTAAGAGCTGGCAGAGGTGGGTGGATTCTTTTATTATTTTACTGTGAGGCATAATGACTTACGTGGAGTGAAATAAGGAGCCATCCTTTTCTAAGTATCCTTCATAGTGAACCAACATCAAATCCCCTCCTTTGGTCTTGCGATGGCAGATGAACGGCTTCTGGAGAACTTCAATCTTCACTTCTGGTTCAGGGATCAGAGCCCCACTCAAAGGAGTGACTAACAGCGTAAGGACTGCGTTCCACAGGAAAAACCTCATGCTGCTGGAGCAGAGAAAAGTTCCTACAAAAACAGAGAAAGGGCCCCCGACCTCATAGAGTTAAGAAAGTAGTTGAAAACTAAAGACAACTGGCCTCTTGCAAGTTCAAGACTCCCCCTACCCAGCAGACGTGGCACAATTACTACCCACAACTGTCCCAGTCCCAAGTCACCATAAAAGAGTTAAACCCACAGCCCGGCCTGATTGGCTCTTAGAGCACAGCCGCCGGGAAGAGCGGGCTCCCATTGGTCGATGGTTTTGTCCCTCACGAGCCTCTCCAGCTAATGATGCTGGGACCCTGTAGTTTACAGCCCCGTAAAGCTGGACAGTTACCCCGGGGCCAATCAATCCGAGTGGTCCTAGAGTGCAACGGATTAAAGAATTGCACAACCTCAGACTTTGGTGAAGGGGTGGAGACAGAGCTAACCGGAAACTCCTTAGCGGATTTACATCTGTAAAGAGCAGGGCGGAGCTTGGGGGAGCTCTGGAGCCTGGTGTACTAACAGCGGATTCAGTGAATATTCGTTTATTCTCATCCTCTGTGAGAGGCTCCCCAAAATTCCACAATACAAGGCACCTGTTATGGTTTATTTAATTTACGATAAAGGCTTAGCGCTTTAGCGTTCACAGAGCGTGTCCCTGTGAGTAATCCTCACTGCACTGCAAGTAAAGCGATTGCTTTATCCCATTTAAAGGAAAAGCATATTTACACTAGGAGAGGTTAAGTGTCCTGTGGAAGGTTGTTCAGCTCCAAAAGATTTGAGTTCCATCTTCAAACCAGGTCTTCTGCATAATAATTTATCACCTAGGTGACCTTATCGCAAGAGGGTCAACAATAGCCTGTATTGAGGATAAAAGAATGTGAAGCCTTATGTTTCAAAGAAGAAATAGCAATCACTGTTACGAGTTATTCAGACTCATCTTAGTTTAAATTTTTTAGTTCTACATTTTTTGCCTAATTTCAAAAGCAGCATACGTTCATTTGTAGTCGATTTGGATGAAATTGGAAAGCACTAAGTAGGGTTTCCAACTAAAATACAGGAGCAGAACTAAATTTGAATTTCAGATAATGCGTTGTAACTTTGCACTAAAAAAAAGAAAGACCGGCTCTAAGGTCATGAGCCATAAAAATCATCCTAACATTTTGGTGCATGCTTTTGCTACATATGCCTGAAACAATTTAGATCATATTGTTCACTTTGTTTCATATCCTGATTTTTCCATTTAATCAATAGCTAGCATTTTCCCAGGTCAACTATCCTTTAGCAGACTACTTTCCCACACTTTAGTGTGCATAGGAATCCCTGGCGGGATCTTGTTAAAATCCATATTTTGATTCAGGAGATCTGGATTTGGGCAAAACCTGCCCTAGGACAACTCTTGGATGAGTCCAATGCTGCTGCCCAGGTATCGCACTTCCCGCAACTGGGCCTCCTCTAGAATTCAGACAGCATGTGTTTACACTGCTTGGACAGTGAAACCCCCACCATTACCGTAGGCCCTAGGGTTGCACACCTCGGGGTGTGTGTGATCAGTTACTGTTGAAGAATTGGACCCTGGGGGCTAGAACCCAGGCTGTACCCCAAGTGGCTACATGGACGCCCAAACATCCAAAGGTGGTACACGATCCATCCACACGCACCACTAAAAGTCACGACTGAGTCCCACTCTCGTCTCAGAGGACTCGCCGCGTCACAGGCACCTCCAGCCCCCAGCCCTCCCCCCTGGCACCGGTTTCCCTGCGAGCCGCTTTCGCGCGGCCGCCCTCGCGGACGCGGCGAAACCCCGGAGTGGATTTCGGGACCGGGCGCGCCGGCGGCACACTGCGCGTGCGCGAGCGGAGCCCGGGCCCGGCGGGCGGCAGGCGCAGGTAGCGCGCCGTGGGGAGCCTGCGGTCGGCTGCCTCCCTGGCCGCGCTTTGGAGGCTCAGGGGCCCCTCGGCCGCCCTGGACTTTGGCCTCCGGGCGGAACGAGCGCCGGCCCGGTCCTCGCGTGCTGCGCCGCCGCAGTGACCCCGCCCCCGCCGAGGATGTGAGCCTGGCTGGGCGGCCCCGCACCGGGCCCGGGCGCCGGGAGTGGGCGGCTCGGCAGCGCCGGGCGATGGCCCTGCAGCCGGTGCGCCGCGCCTCCTGGGGCCTGGGGCTCTGAGGGGACCCGCGGGCTGGAGGGAGCGGCCCCGCGCGCCGGGGGCGAGGGACCCGCGGGCGCCATGGAAGGGGTGTTGTACAAGTGGACCAACTATCTGAGCGGTGAGTTGGGGGCGCCCCAGGGCCCCGGTCCTTTGTTTGAGCCGCCGGAGGGCGGCGTCGGGACGCGCCTCCCGGGGGTCGGGGCCGCTGGGAACCAGACCGCGGATTCCTGGGCGCACCAGGAATGTGCCCCCCGGAGCAGTTTCTTAGGGACCGTGTCACCCCTGCTGTGCGCACACGGCCCCTTGGGGCGGGGTGACGGCAGCAGCCGATCTTTCCCCGAGAAAGAGACGGAATACTAAGATTTGGAGTGGTTTGGAAGGTGGATGCCCAGGGGTCGGTGGGAGAGGCGCTGGCGGCCGCCTGTAGGGTCCTGCGGGCGTCTCCAATTCTGACCGAAGAGCGGGTCCCACGAGTTAGCAGATAGGTTGAAAGGTTCCAGGTGAGTTGCCAGCAGTACCTGTGATCCAAAGGTGAAAGGTCCTTTTTCAAACAGTCTTCAGTGAAAATACTTTCCCTTTGTTACTTCCAGAGTCATCAAGTGCATCAGATTTCCATCTAAAGAGTTTCAAAGCCCCAAGTATGCACAAGGATTTTGATTTTTTTTTCTTTCTGTTTCATAGACTTAGAAATAATTCACAACTGTTTTTTTTTTCCCCTGAAAAGGACCCCCCCACCCCCTTTTCTAGTTGTGGAAGTACTTTTTTCTTATCTTAAGAAGTACATCATTTTCCTTCAGCTGTTAAGATAATTCAGGGGCATTTTTAAAAAGATTTATTTATGCGTACAAGAACTGGGGTACAGGCCAGAGGTGTGGGGGGTGAGAGGATTCACCAGAGACAGAGTGGGGAACAGAACAGGCAGACTGACTGAAATACACTGCTGAGGGGAGCAGCGGGCGAGTCAGGAGAGGTCTGCTGCGCCATGTGGGTGAGCTCCCTGGCTGGCTGGGGATCGGAAAGGGCATTTTTTTTCCTTTTGTATAACCAGTATTTGTTTTAAAAAGCCTTCTATATGCTAGAAACTGTGCACTTTGGGAATTCAACTTTTTATTACGGAAAATGATTTTGACACTTTTAATTTTAATTGCAATGCCTTAGAAACTAGAAATGCCCTCATAGTTCGTAGAATGAGGAGGTATATTTTCCATTCTTCTTTTAGTAGGACAATTTTTTGAATGATTGTAGCATGGTGATGCTCTGGCATGTTTTAATAAAAGGGTGTGTGGGAGGATCAGTTGTCATAGTGACCAGATGAAGTTTAATAGCACAGTCAAAAGTGGGGGGGGGGGCAGGAGGTCGTTCCCAGAATCTCTTCCCTATACATAGTGTGATTAGAAGTGAGTTCTGTTTATTTTCCCTGTAATCAGTAGAGAGCGAGTGAGGAAAGGTGTGTTAGAAAAGTTGGCCTTTGCTTCAAGGACCTTCGCTGATGTCAGTCCATTTCATTAGATGTGGATAACTCAAGGCGGCACTTCTCTGAATGTCGAAGGCTGATTAAACACCTCTAACCTAAAGGGAGGAGATGCTTTGTGTTGCTAGTTTTTTACCTCTATCACACTTTTTGACTTTTTTTTTTCTTTCAGTCTCAGTGCTTTTATTTTTAATACCTCCCCCACCCACCTTTGTTTTGCCTCATACTTTCTTCCTCTTCCTCCTATCTATAGAGTTTAGTGTCTAGTATTACTTCCTGGTTGTGAAGTGTTTTTCTTCTTTTTCTGACTCTTTTATTCTTAAATAAAGCAAAATTTCTATTTGAATAATTTTTTGAATCTTTATCATGTGACATCTGCACATTCTGTTTCATTGGAAAAGAATCTGCTTTATTCTTCCCTAAGTAATGAAGTTCATTTTGTGCAGAGGGCCAGAGTAAAAACCCTAAGGGAGAGGGATGCTGGAGTCATCGCCAGAGGCAGCTGTCCTTATACTGTACAGCTTGTTCCCTTGGCCCTCATGCCACGTCTTTGTTGGCACACAGTTCATAGAAGCCCATCACACCACTGGGTGCTCTTCCTGGGTATACTTAGAATTATGGTTCAGCACATTCTCTTTCATTAAGAGATGAATTTACTTTGGAAAGGAACAGTAATAACCTAGGAGGACCAAATGCATTCTTGTTCCATTCACCTTCCTATAGAGTTAGTCTCCCAAAAAGAGCATAGTGTGAGTATTAATGACAAGCTTTGATGGGGCTATCACTACATTTTCTTCTTGCTTATTTTTAAAATTAACATTTTTTTCATGTGGTTTCTTTCACACATAATAATTTTAAAGTACATATAATCCCAGTTCAAGTTTTTGTTAATTCTGGGTTATTCTCCAAAAGAAGTAGATAACCTGTTTGTGTAGGTTGTATTTCTGTCATGCCCACATCTTGATATGAGATAACTTGTCTCAAATTTGAGTGAAGTAAGGAAGTAAGGAAATCAGTTTATCAGTTGATCCTTGGAAAGGATGTTTTAATGTCATGTATCACTTACTTATATGGGCACTGTGCTAGGCATAGGACAATCAACACTGAACATGACAGACATACCCCCGCCTTCCTTGAGGTTATGGTTTAGTGGGGAAGAAAGACATTCATCGAATAAGTGGTTATAAGCAAGCTCCAAGTGTGTGTATTTGGGGGTTTCAGGCAGAACAGGAGAGGTTAATCTTAGTCATTGGAGAGGGATGCTTTTTTTTTTTTTTTAAGATTTTACTCATTTATTTTTGTGTAGAAGAACTGGGGTGTAGGCCAGAGGTGCAAGGGATGAGAGGATTCACCAGAGACAGTCTGGAGCACAATAGGCAGATCTACTGAAATACACTGCTAAGGGGAGCAGTGGGCAAGACAGGAGAGGTCTGCTGTGCCATATGTGGGTCAGCTCCCATGTCTGGGGAACGAACTCAGGCCATAGCAGTGGTAGAGCTGAGACTTAGCCCCTCGGCCACCAGGGAGGCCCTGGAGAAGGCTTCTTTTAGGAAAAAATTTAAGAAGAATCTGAAGGTGGAAGGTAGATAGGTGGGAGGCCAAGGCAGAGGTGCAGTTGGAGGCTCTAAAAAGGAAGAACTTTTTAAGTACAGGGATATCTCTGTGAAGGCTCTAAAGCAGGGTGGAGAACTGGTGGGTTTGAAGAAAGGAAAGAAGACTTCTGATAGGAGAGCTGAGAAGTGAGGCTCCAATTAGGCTATAGGAGTGGGAGGCTTGATGTTGTCGAGGGCTGCATGGGTTGATTTAAACACTGTGGAGTGATTGTGTGTGAGAGAAAAATGATGAGATTGTTTAAAGACTTACTTTGATGCATTTATTGTATTTTGTCCATTACTCTATTTGTTTTGTGAGCTTCTCTTTCCTCTTGAATTAAAATGATAGGTACCAATTACTAGAAGTTAGAAACAGCCTCAAACCCTGAGAATAGCATCTTAATTGCTTGCATGAGTATACCACTAAAATAAAAAAGAGAAAGGAAGAAAAGTCTTTTTTCTCTCCTATACTAGGCATACCCAGGTACCCTGTGCTCCTTCAGAGGAAAAGGAAAAAAACAAATGTTTATTTGTATTTTTTTCAGTAGTCCTGAGCCATCTTGCCTTTTGAACAGCAGAACACTGGATATAAGAAAAGGGAATGGATTTCACAAGCACCTGTGTTGTGGGAGACGTGGTGCTAGACACTGCATGTTTGTTGTTTGTATCTTTCAAGCCGTCAGAGTTAATCAAGGGATATGCTACATGTATGGTAATACATATATAGAATTTTAGTGTCTTCCTCCATGAAAATGAGAATTACCAGCAATAATTATAACAATAGTAAAACAAAATTATTAATGCTTACAATGTACCATGCACTATTCACTCCTTGATTCTTTGTAGCAATTTTAAGAATTTTATTCCCATTTTATAGATAAAGACATTGAGACACAAAGTAGGGTAACTGGCCCAAAGCCAAACAGTGAATGGCACCAGAGGAAATACTCCATTACATAATACTTCTTGCTTGATCATTATATAATTCTAGGTGATTCATAATATACCTATATTTAAAAAGTGTTGACTTAGAATAGCAGATTCTATTTGGAAGTGGGAGGTAGTGGGGGAGTTTGGAGGTGAGGAAGACTTTGCCCAAATGTACATGCATTTTGTCACAAGGAAATTTCCTGAGCTGTGCTGTGAGTTTTCTTTTTTTTTTTTTTTTTAAAGATTTATTTATGCATACAAGAGCTGGGGTATAGACCAGAGGTGGAGGGTGGTGGTGGTGGTGAGAGGATTCACAAGAGACAGAGTTGGGAGCAGAACAGGAAGCTCTACTGAAATACACTGCTTGAGCGGAGCAGGGGGTGAGACAAGAGAGGTCTGCTACACCTTGTGGGTTTACTGTCTGGCTGGGGATCAAACTGGGGCTGCCGTGGCTGTGGATTGCTTCATAGTACTGAGACTTAACCCCTTGTGCCATGAAGGAGGCCCTGTGCTGTGAGTTTTCTTCCTCAGTTTTAGGTCCCTTTCCTGCCTGCTCAGTAGACAGAATGACTTCTGTCCTGAGCTCCAGCCAACTGCAGGCTTCTTGGGCCCTCAGGCAGGTTAGGGTATACACACTTTGCTGTACTGCATTCCAAAAATAACAGAAGCTTTTATTATGCTGACCACATGGTTATCACCGAGGAGTTGCTATAATTTTGTTTCCCTCGCCCCCGGAAGGTGGAGGAAGATGATTCTTGCCCATATATGTTTGTGTTATATAAACATTGCCAAGAATATGTGTAATCTGGAGCAAGTTATTGTTTCACAACTACTGGTGAACCTTTTTGTTTTTTAACATCTTTATTGAAGTACTAGTTCACCCATCCAAAAATGCACTTATTTTAAGTGTACTAGTCAGTGGCTTTAGTATATTTAGAGTACAGGCATCACCACAGTGAATTTTAGAATATTTGCATCATCCAAAAAAGAAACACGGTACCCATTATCTATCACTCCCCCTCATCCTCTTGGTAACTACTAATCATGTCCGCATAGATTTACCTAGTTTGAAAATTTTCATATAAATGGTGTCATACATTATGTCGCCTTTTGTGCCTGGCTTTT